CCATGAGCTCTATGGAAACTCTAAAAAATAAATTCCTAAGATCCCAGCAGCGTGTAGAGTGACATAAAGCAAGTGGCAGGAATGACTTCCAGCAAATTCCGTAACTTAGGCGGGCCTCGGTTTCCAGGTCTGTAAGACGTGACCACGGGGGTTGGTTGTGGAAATCAAATCCAAAATGTGAGCAAAGCCTCTGGCAAAGGTAATGGGCGATAGGTGTCTTCCGTTTTATGGGCTCCCCCGGGGAGAAAACCTCACACCACAGCTCATCTACGCTTTTTCCTTCAACCACCTTCCTGAGTGCGACAGCCCTGTGCTGAAGGAGACAGTAAGTCAGGCTGAGAGAGGAACTATTTGGACAACCAGAGACGCTTCCCCCACAGGAGAGGGAGGGACACAGCCAAACAGGAGAAGCCGATGACCTTCCCGATACATGCGTCAGAACAAGCCGTCCGTTCGTGACACGCCCTTGTGACTTACATTGTACTGCGTAGGATGCTAGAACCACCGCTGAGTTAAGAGGGCAGGTCAACCTGTCAGAAGAAAAACACATTAGCAAAGGCACACGAGCCCGAAACACTCATTGATCACCTGTCTTTTCTTTCTTGAGTGAAGCATGAGACACAACCATGAATCACAGCAAAGACAATTTTATGACACAACTAATAGCAAGCAGTAAAGATGAATGCGACACTAAAGATTACTGAAAATGGAAAAACACTTTTTCATGTTTAAAATAATATACATAAATACATATACCATGGAGGTCATGGTTGGCCAGGGTTTTGGCTGGTCAAGAGAGGCCAGGCTCATATCACTAAGAGAAAATTGAACGCTTAGATCCATGGGCGACCTTCGTATCTTTCTGGTAAAGACATGAGACTTTTCATAGGGCTTTCTAACTAAATCCCTGAGGTCTGCTGACTCAATGAATCTCAGTTACTCACTTTCTAGAAGGGTGACCTCCTCTTAAAAGGGAAAAATAGAAAAGCGTTATGAATTTTAAAACTCCAGTGAGTTTTAAATTACCTAATTAAATTAGTTGTTTAAGATTCCTAAATCTGTTTGCTCCCTGAAGCTTCCAGTCTAGGGGGAACGCTCTGTCCACCTCTCAGTCTCCTGCCATCTGCCAAGCGTCCACAGCCTCCAGGTTGGACTGGTTCTTCTACCCTCTCTAGCTCACTGCCCTCCAGGATACCCCATTTCTGCCAGTGGCTCCATCTCTGCCGTGGTCCATATTTCAAATCCTCTGAGTGCTCCCTTTTCTCCATTCCACCTGGGGTTCCACACTCTACTTAGGAGCCCAGCCAGCAGGCCTGGAGCAGGGTCACCCTGTGTGGGAGGGGTGCATTGGGAAAGGGCTGAACGCAGCAGCACGAATGAAGGCCTGCAGGGTGGAGAGACAGATTTTCAAAGCATTCTTCCCAGCAAACCCATGGGAAAGTGAAGAAAACACATGGTTTCCATGGCAGCCCATGAAGATATGAGTCACCTCAACCTCTCTGACTAATCCGGCTGGCCCGCCAAGGTTCCCTGTCTTGGGCGCTGCCCTGTGTGCTGGCCCTGCAGCTGCTTGGGAAGGTAGCCTTGCCTCTCGGCCGGGCCCCGACTAGCACTTCTAAATGCTCTCTCCAAGTCTGGAGACACATCCAGGGATGCTCACTGTCTCTTCCTTCGCCTGGAGACCCAGAGAGTCCATGGGGAGAGCACGCATCAGCCATTCGCTCTCCTGCCAAGATGGGCTTCAGTGGAATCTAAGCCGGGTTCTTGCTACAGAAAGAGCAGCTGAATGGGATTTGGGAACATCTTAGGGGAGAGGCTAAAGGGGTCCAGTCTAGATGGAAGAAGCAAGCCTACGAGTAAGTCAGAAAGGAAAGCATCTCCACTCAGAGCGTAAATATGGTACCGAGTAGAGAACACCGAAAGCCTGCACTGTGCTCCTGCCTGGCCCGCTCACAGGCCACATCTTCCTAACAGACCCCTTTCCTTCTCTCCGGGCTTTGGGGTCTCCACCTGGGGGACGAGATCGCTTATCTCAGCAGAAGGAACTGAAGCCTTCGGTCAGGGCACGAGGAGGAACGCGAACTAGATCCACTAGATCTGTCAAAAGGTCCTGAGAAGCAGCTGGTAACGGCAGGACCTCCCCTCAGACAGGCGGTGAGGGCCACCTGCAGACCTGATAGTGACAAGGATGCCAGGGTTCTCAGCCAGGAATTCTATCAATTCACATAAAACTATCAAGGGGTATTTTGTCTGGAGAAGAAAAAACTGAAGATGACCGATTTCCAACACTTGGAGAGCTGGACTGAAAGTTCCTGAAGGGGCAGGGCCTTGCCCCACTGACCATCACAGTCGAGTGCCTGTGTCATAGCAGGTGCTTGTGAAGTGTTTGTGAGACAAACGAATGAGTGAGGGGAGGGGTATCCTTTCACTCACCACCCAGGGGGACACACCTCCTCACTGCGCTACCACCCCAACCCCAGCTCATTGCAGCAGTGCACAAAGACTTCCAGCCCACACCTGCATCTCCTCCTCCTCCTCCTCCTCCTCCTAAAACCCCAGGACCACGTGCTCTCCACGCTCAGCCTGGTCCTCACTGCTTCGTGGGCTCTGGTATCACTTCCCCAGCAGTCTGCAAGCTCCCTTCCGAAAGCACGCCGGAGGCCTGCAGACCTTCCTCAGCAGGACTGCATGGGCAGGAGAGCGGATGCGGGGAATGGGAATGAGGTAGCCGTCCCCACCAGCCTACCTGCTGCACTTTCCTCCGTAAGCCAAGCGCAAACTCAGGACTTGGAGGAGGTGGCTCAGGGACCACTGGCTTGGCGTCTCCCGCCCTCCCTGAGCTTTCTGCGCCTCACTTTCCAGCCACTGAGATGGTCCCGATACCCAAGAAGTGCCGAATCACGGGCAGGTGCTCATGTCTTTGAGCAAAGTGTCCCGGAGAGGAAATGAATCACCCGCAGGTACTAGGGGCTCCAAAGTGGGCGTAATGAGGCCTGACCTGCCTTCCTGAAGGAGGCCCTGTTCACATTCGGGGTCCCTCCCTCCCTGTAAAATTCCTCAGGTCTTTACCAGAAAGATATCTGGACCTTTTATAACAAAATTGAAACAACACGAAAAGAATGTTATCGATCCTTCGCCTCTGTAAACCAGGATGGAGGTGAACACATGTCCAAAGCGTATGGAATGCTGCTTTCAACATCCACTCTTAGGGGACGTTTAGTGTTGCTACCAGGGGCGCATGCTCATGCGATTAGAAGCAGGGGTTTTGCTAATCTGGCAGCTGACAGGGAAAAAAGGAATGCAAAATTCTCATTACCTTCCTTCACAAATATCCATCTTCAGTTGTAGGAAATACAAATGCCTATGAAACAATTATTTTCATTAATTCATCATACTCAAATTGAAATAAGCAAAAACTACAACAATAACAACAACACCCAAAATAACACTGATGCATCAAGGATAAGACCTGTACATTGGAAAAATAAAATACTAGTAAAGGCACATTTTAATCTAAAGCATCAGGTACCATTTTGCACATTTCAAAGCTGCCCCTTCAGGAATAATGGCTCACGTGGCTGCCTAAGTCTTGATTGGCAGGGCCGATGGCCAGCCAGCCTCACACCAGCACAGGCTGTCCTAGGGGTGGCTGAGCAGGGATGGACAGGGTGGAAGCAGCCCATCAAGGGCCAGCTGGTCAGTGTGTGCCCAGACCCTCGGCCTGGACCTCCCCAATCAAACTTGGGGTGTCTGAGAGCGCCAGGAATTACAGGCCTTGGCACCGGCAGCCCCTGCACACTGGAGGGGCTGCTGTTCGGGACACAACATTTGCACATCCACGTACGCTCTGCATGGAGTTGCTGAGGAAAGGAGAGTCTGTGGAGACATCTCCTTGGCTGGGGAGCAAGCACCCAGCTGGGTTCTTTCCTGTGCCCCAGGAACTGTGGGTGCTCTAGCAAAAGCATAACCGTCAACTGCAGGCCGGGACCGCCAAGCTGGATTCGGCACTTCTTTGTAAGCAATATCACTTCAAAACCCGGGGCGTGACGTGTGGGCAGAGCTCAGTAAATCGTCAGGCCCCTCACCAGCCTGTGAGCCTGCCCTCCAGCCAGGTAACGGGAGACGGGGCATCCGCAGCGCCGTGCAGGCTGGGAAGGGCCCTGCGGAGCGTTCTATTTCGGGATGCGGCACACCCGTGACACTTGGCCGCTAGCTCCCACTCTTTTTTAAAGCCGGGACTCAAATGGGATAGACATGCCAGTGTCTGGCCAAGATGACAAAAGCGAAACCTCTTGAAATACAATACAGATGCAGCAGAAGTGCTCAGGGGCCAGAGAGAGATCATTTTGGCAATTTGAACAGATCATCCTCATGATTCCTTCAAATTTATGTTTAAAGGTGAAGGTGCTGGTCTTTTGAGACGTGAATGCCTCACCTGGTATCATGACTTCCTATCTGCACAGTTCTGGGCCACATGCATGGTATTTTAGAACTTACTGCCTCATTTCAGCCTCAGAATAACTCTGTGAGGTAGGGACCACCACCTACATTTTTTACAGATGAGAACACTGAGGTTCAAAGAGGTGATGTGGGGTCAGTTATGTCTTATTTTAACCTGGACACTTAAGCTATGGGAAAAATCTGACTATGCTACAAATTTATGTGGCTAATGGCTAAAAAGCTTAGGATCTATTTCCTAACTTTGATGTTATTACTTTGACTATAATTACCAGCTTCCCTTAATGTGCTGAAGACCAGCATTGAGAGACGGCAGAACACAGACTTGCTGATTCGTGTTTATTCCATAATGGAATCTCTACCTTTTCCACCTAGAACATAATCCGTCCTTTCTAGTTTGTTTCTGTTTATCCCAGCTGACATTCAACCAGAATTAAGTGTTCTCTCCTTCCACAACACTACTGAGAGAAAGAAGAGAAGGGAGGGACTTAGAGATAATCCCATGGAAAAGCTGGGCTTTCACAGACGAGCCCGGCTAATCGGAGCATCTTCCTAGGGATATAAGCGAGAACATGAGCCTGGACATCACCATTCATCAAACGCTACCTTGTTGTATGTTCGGCAAAGCTCCTGAGTGAACCCTATGACCTCATCACGAAGGGATTGGGATAGGGGGATGAGGCCTGGCCTGAGCGGACCTCCCAGATGTACAGGGCCTCATTTTGAGTCTGCCAGTAAATGAAATTCTGTTTAGAGTGATCTACATTTATCAGACACAGCCGTTGTGGAGGTCACCATCAAGGGGACACTTATTTTGCAGTTAGAATAAAGGAAAGACTTTGAGAAGAGAGGCTGGCCGTGCCTGTCTTCAGAAATGCAACCATCGATCCTAGAGCACACCCCATCCAGGAGCTCAACTTCAGAGAAAAGCAATCCCTGCCTCCCTGCCTGGATCCTCAGGAAACAAATGCCACCTCTGTGCTCCTTCTCTGACTCTCGGGAGCTAAATTTCTAACTTTTGGGAACTTTTGGATAAACTACAGAGCTGGGGCTTCAGGAAATACTATGTGCCAGGAACGCAGGTAAAAATCTTCATTTAAGTAAAAACAAACCAACCACACACACACACAGAGGGGTGGCTGCTGCCAGGGCTCCTGCTGCATTAAAGGGAAATTTGGCGCCGAAATCCTAGGAGGTGACAGCTCTACTCTGCACCACACTGGGGAAACCACCTCTCTGAAGATGGGAGGTGGGGGGTGGGATTTAGAAGGAACACATGGACAAACTGAATTTTACATGGGACTTAGATAAGAACAAAAATTAGCCTATTACTCACCTGAAGCCCAAACCTGCCCCCTCTGCCACCTCCACCCACTGGACAGAATTCTACCAACCAAGCTCATCCAATCCCCCTCTCCACCTGCAGATCAAGGGCAGCCCTTGCTTCCATCCGGGTCCTTTATCCTGAACTCCTTATGGTTTCCTCAATGTCAGGGCGGGGCAGAAGGATTCTGTTGGCTCCCAGAGGGAGTGAGCTTCCTTCCCATGGGGCACAGTAGTGAGCGTCCAGTGACCAGGGAGGGTGCTGGAGAGGGGCACTGGACTAGGCTGCCCAGCAACCCCTCACTCAAGTTCTCTCTCTGGAGAGCATCACAGGGAGGAGAGAGGGGGTGGGGGACAATCACAAATTGAGGCGGCACAGTTCACACGTGGGGTTGGAACCCATTAGCTGGTAGTAAAAGCAATTTAATGGGCCACAACTGGCATTTTAAAAGGAAAAAGAACATCAGAAGACTTCAGAATACTTTGGCATTTCCTATTGTTTTATGAAATGTTTGCTGAGTAATTTATATATAACCTGTGTAATGAATCAAAACATATTTTTACTGTGGGGTTATGATTTTAAAAACGCATTATACATATGTATATACACACACACACACACACACACATAATATATACATAGCCATCATGCCATTTTAACTCTTTTCGGTCCAACCAATACATATGTATACACACACACACACACACATAATATATACATAACCCATCATGCCATTTTAACTCTTTTCGGTCCAACCTCGAGGCTGACTGGACAGACCAGGCGCTAGGAGCAGGTCCAACGTCGAGCAATAAGAACATTAAAAAGTTCAACATTCAATCCCATCAATTAATATGGACCAGATCGTTTGAATTCCAAAAATAACACTGGACCGCAAAGGGTTAAAAGCATTCCTTGACTAGAACTTGCTCTTTAGTAACGGCTTGGGGAGGGAAACCTTGGTAGGGTCATTTCAAACACATATTCTTATAGACAATGTCTTCACTTTGCGTCCTTGGGCTTAGGAACTGACCTGCTAGGTGGCGCGTCACTACACCGTCCCTCAGCGCACCAGGGTAAAGGGCCAGTACGGGGGAAAACAAACCCCAGTGCGCACGGCCATGGTTACCCAATGAGTCCTGATGGACATCTCTTATACCGGCTTGAAATTTAACTTCACTGTAAACATAGTCCAATCGCCAGTGTCTGCTACTGCAGGGGAAGAGGTGCACAAAGAAGGCAAAACAGAGCAATAGACTAATAATATTTGGCCTTCAAACATATTCAAAGGTAAAATGTGATCATGTGACTACCATTAAAGAAAAAGAAAGGGTAAAAAACAAGATGGCATTCTACGTGTGAGTTGACATCGCCAGCTTGGTGGTGGTCTCCCGGCCACAGTGAGCACAGAACAGGATTCAATATTCCCGAACATCCGTTCATTACTTTTCCTGGTGGAAGTTTCCCTCCCTCAGAAAAATAAAAGTACCCATAATAAAGGGCTTAAGTTGCCATGGGGAAAAACAGAGGCATGGTAGAATTTGCCTAGTACCTGTTCAAACAGCCACAACTTTCCTGTGCCCTCCCCCTCCATTCCAAACACCTTTCTGCCCAGAAAACCCACGTGTCAGGGCCAGCACAAAGCTGGGGCCAGACACCAAGCCCTGAGGGGTAAACAACTCCTATCACAGCCCGTATCTGGTTCGAAGACCGTCTGCACTGGCGGATTCACTGCTGAGAGAAGCTGGCCCAGTTGGTTCTTCTTTCTGGCTCCTGCACGGGGATCTGACAGAGAATGCTTAGCTCAGAGAGCGCCTGTTATCCTGAAGAGCCTCAATTCTAGCCCTTTAGAGACACGTGCTCCTTGATCTGTACATGTCTGTTTTACAAACTTGTCTTCCAAGTCCTGCCTGCATGAGCAGAAAAGGACTTCATTCTTTGAACACAGGAGCTCTACAGGCAGGAGGGGCGGGGACGGTGAGGGAGGCAGGACCCAGTGGTGGAGGCAGGACCAGGTGGGAGTGCACTGGGAATCACATGAGTCAAGAGGGGAGAGAGGCAGGACCAAGACTGGACAGGAATGGGCTGATTCAAATTTCAACCACTGTTACCCGCCACCACCCCCACTCCCCCACACACACACTCTTTAATTGGATCATAATTGATGGCACAGTTATATACAAATGAAGTATTTGGCCACAGTGATAAAATAAAAGAATACATTTTTCGTGATCACTCATTTTTATATACTAAGTAGAAAACTTTAAAAAAATATTATTACCTGGTTTGTTCTTGCTGCAGTGTGTTGGGATCAGGTATAAAAAATCTTACTCGAAAATGCAGGGTACAGGGGAAACCTCCTACAACATTTTTCAAAAACAAATTAAATTTTCCCTTTAAAAATAGTCAATGTATATAAGTGGCTGCTCTCCCATAAGTGATGCATTTTTTCACTACACTATAGCTTTCCCATTAAGAGCATTAATTTTTTATAAAAAGGAGTGCATAAGTTAATTGACTGCTCAGAAATCATCACGTCTACAAGAAGTAAAATATTTTTTTGCAGCATCAGCATAGAATGAGGCATTATCTACTTTTTATTACAGGTTTAACTTAGGGCTGTGTTCAAACGGTGCACTCCATTATTTGTGTTAGGAATGTAAAAAATCCTTAAATCAGCAGAATATACAAAATTCACGAATAAATATTATCTCCCACAGATAGTGATTTTACACTTTTCAAACATTTCCCTGTACATTCTCGATTTTAACACTCCTATGAACAGGCGAGGCTGCTACTGCTAGCTCCCTTTTACACATACGCCAACAGGCTTAGAGGTGTGACTTGCCTTCAGTCACATAGCTAATCACACAACGAGAATGATAGCCCCGTGGTCTCTGATTCTACTAGGCCACATTTCAAACACATTTTTATACTAAAAGACACATCATGCTTTTAATGCTAAGTGAATCCCAGAAGTGATTAACATGTTAGCAAATATTACATAATTAACATACTCAACTATGGCTTCATGCAACACGATCAAGAGTCAAGCCACTTGTATGAATAAAATAAGCCCATTTCTTTTGCTAGCTATAACAATAGGAGAGTATCAGGTTGTGCTGCTAAGATCCATGCTCTTCTTAATGTCAATCTCACCCCCTCTGTTACTCAGTAATACTCATTGGCCCTATCTAAGTGCACAGCACTTACTTGCTCTCTGAAACTCAAGCCTTCTCCACCAGGGGCCTCTCACTCACCTCCTCTACCTTAGTTCATGCTGGGCTCCGCCCTTTCCTCTCTTTAGTATCATCTCTCTGATCTCTGGCTTGGGTCAAAGACTTCAATTGGTGTGTGTGCACCTATGATTGTACCTGTGTACAGGTGCCTGGGTGCCAGAGTGTGTGGTGCTGGGACACTGAGTGCGGGCCGACCACCTGCGCATCAAGGGATAGCTAAGTCCCCCCACTGCCTTGGGATGGCCTCCCTGCTCCCCCCATCTCCTTCTGTAAGTTGTCACTGTGTGTCTCAGACATGCCTCCAAGTCTTTCGCGTCCTCCTCTGTGCACCCAGAGCATCCTATCATGTGCCCAAAACTATCCTACAACTGTCTCTCCCCTTGTCAAGAGTCCCCACACTCGGCTGTGAGCTCCTTAAGGGCAGGGTCCAAATCTGATTTGGACCAGATTCCCAGAGCTGAGCCCAGTGCCTTGCCAAAGTCTGAGCTCGGGGCACATTAGCTGAGTGAATGCATCGGTCAGAGAATGAAGGACAGCACCTGTGCGTGCCTGTGTGCACTTATCCCTCTGTGAACTGGAATGCGGCCGGGGGTTATCTGCACAAAGGCTCTGTGCTCCCTGGGGGTACTTCTGAATGCCAAGTGCACGCTCATGGGAGGCAGGGACTCTGCGGCCCAGGCTCCAGGTGAGAGCAGCTCTGGGATCAGGGTCTGGGCGACTGTTTCGGCTCCTTCCCATCTGGGGGCTGGGGTGCAGCATTTGTGCGTGCACACTTTTGTGTACAAATCCATCTGCCTTCACCCCTCAACCACTCACTGGCCACCTCCTGTGTGTGTGGGGGTGGGCACTGGTAGAAGTGCAGAGAGGATGTCCCACCCTGCCTCTCACACTGGGCTAAGAAAGGCCATCCTCCCTCACCTTGCAAACTGCAAGTTCCTTGACAAAGAGAAAGGCAGATAACTATGAGCTGAAGGACAGAGTGTTCTGGGGCACGTGAAGCAGATGGTATAAATGTAAGCGGGGGTAGAGGGAGCCAGGACTTGCAGGAGGGAAAGAAATGGGATCTGAGCAGCTTTGAAGAAGGGCAAGATTTGGACATAGGGAGCAAAAGGGAAAGGCATTCCCAACAGAGGGAACAGAATGAGGGAAGGCACAGAGGAGTGTGCGGGGCCCAGCAAGTCATCCAGGTTTGTCTGGGGCAGAAGGTGCATAAAGAGAAATAGAGTGTGATGTTCAGAACCCACCAAACTGGGAATTAACCTGCACTGGGACCTCTCACGGTGGATGAGCTGTATGTTACACTTGTGACATCATCTATGCCTTGGTTTCCCGTGATTGGAATTAAGCTGCTGGGAAGGACTAGGTGTGTGTGCCTGTCTCTCTTTCCCACCCTGCCTCTCACTCTGGGCTAAGAAAGGCCATCCTCTTTCCTTGTAAGAAGAAAGTGGGTTCCCTGGCTCTTGGCTGCCTTCTTTCACCCTCCCCCATCTTGCTCACCGCTGGTGAGGAGCCCTGGAGGCTGGTCTGGAAGCATCTCACTCACGCTGCCTGGACCACCTGGAGTCCAGGTTCCAGATGTTACAGGCACGCTGATGCTCGGAGGGGAGAACTGGGCCGTGATACACTAACACCGACTGAGTGTCCCAATGAGTGAGAAGGTCACACCCACCTTTTAACTGCTTCCTGATGGGCTTGCTTGATTCCAGCCACCTCTGCTGGTTAAGAAAACATAAGATATAAAAAAACCAAACTGTGCAGAAGCCTAGCACATCTTAAAGGGATGGTACTCACGGGAGAGTCCACTGATCCATCGCCATGCTGCAAACCAAAATATTCCTTCTCGGTCACACACAAGTGGTTGTACGCCATGTCCAGAAGAACTTGACCGGTGTCCTGTTTCTAGGAATAAAAAGTCGAGTGGGTAAAATTTTAAAACGAATTAAGAACTAGTGGTTAAAAATCTTTCCTGCAGCCCGGCCGGTATGGTCCAGTGGTAGAGTGTCAACCCATGAACCAAGAGGTCAGGGATTTGACTGCCAGGCAGGGCACATGCCCAGGTTGTGGACTTGACCTTCAGTAGGGGGCATGCGGGAGGCAGCTGATCAATGTTTCTATCTGTCTACCCTTCTCCCTCGCTTGCTAAAATCAATTTAAAAAATAACATTTTATTTTTTAAAATCTTTACTGTAAATAGGAGTTAAAACATTCAGAGAGATTTTATGTGCACACACATCCCGCGACAAGAAATGCTTTAATAAGTTCAAGTTAAGAAGCCGCATGGTACGTCTGGGAAGTAGGCTAAGGAAAAACGACATAAGCAGGACTGAAGACCGTCCAGTTTAATTTTGTCAGACTTCTTGCTTCCCCTTAGCTGAGATTCCCAAGTGATGATGCCTTAATTGGGAAACTCAGCAATCACAGTGGGAGCACCTCCTGGTGCCCCACCCATGGCTTATCCCCAGCACCACGCTAATCCCACACGGGCTCCCGCAGGCTCCTCAGGAGGCACGGACGTGTCCAGAGGGATGAACAAACTCTCTGCTAACCACGTGAAGGAAGAGGGCGAGGAACACTCCCATGACACCCAAAATACCCTCAAAGTGAGCTGGCATGTGACACCCTGGGGGATTATCTGCCTCACTGCTCCTCGTCATGTGAAGTGAGAAGCCGGTGGGGACATGCAAACACTTCACATCCAGAGCGGGACTCGGCCGCCTTCACCACTCAGAGCAGATGGAGCAGGCGCGAGGCTGAGCATGGGGACAGAGGCACAGTGGGTGTCCTGCTCCTGCCCTCCTGAGGGGCCAGCCGGTAGAAGCTGCACTGTGCTGAGGGGTGTGGAATGCTGTCGAGGGCTGTGAAACGCTCAGGGCACAGTGAGCACACAAGAGGACAACAGAAACGTTCAACATTCAACGCAGCCTGGGGACAAGCAGCCCCTGACCCGGGTCTGGGAGGGTGGGGGTCTGGGAGGGTGGCGGGCTGCGCGACACCTCCCCTCCAGGTGCAGGAGCTGAGAAAAGCCATTTGGAGCAGGCACCCCGGCACAAAGGCAGGGGCTGGGAAACAGTGTGGGGCATTGGGAAAGCTGCAAAGTCTACTTTAATGCTCTGACTTCTAAGGAATCCTTTGAACCAAACCACTTAACTGAAGGACAATTTGAGTCAGAAATAGACCGTGTATAGAAGAAGCAAAAGCAGGGTTTTTTTTGGGCGGGGGTGAGGAGGGGTGCAGATAATGTACCTGAAAATAGGTCGCAGCGACCAGGAGGAGGACATTAGGCAACTGTCAGGCCCCTCCTGTAGCCTCTGCCTTGGCTCGGTCTCATGTTATCTGATCTGATGTGGGAACACGAGACACGCCCAATGCCCGAACACATCCCCTTTCCGCACCCCCGAGGGCCTGTACCTGCCACTTCCTCTGCCTCGACAATCTCCACCCCAAGGGAATCATGATGGTGTGGAAAAGATGACTGGCCCACTCATTCCGAACCATGAGATTCTCTCCCCCTAAATGGAGACATTCTCTCAATGCGTCAAAGCGCTATCTGCTCCCCGTGTTGAAATGGTTACTTCTACGACTTTATATCAGATTAAATATATTATTATTATTATCATTATCATTACTGTGAATCCTCACCCGAGGATATTTACCCACTGATTTTCTAGAGATTGGAAGGGAGGGGGAGAGACAGAGAGAAACGCGGATGTGAGAGAGACACATCGGTCGGTTGCCTCCCACACACACCCCACCAGGGGCAGGGATCCAGGTTGCAACTGAGATACGTGCACTGAACCGGAATCAAACTCCTGATCCTCAGTCCATGGGCCAACTCTCTATGCCCTGAGCCAAACCCGCCAGGCTTAATCTATTATTAATAACTATAATCCACTGAACATCTCCGAGGAGCCAGACATGATGCTAATACGTGCTCTTTTTAAACACAATGTCTCGTCTTTGCAAAGTCACCATCAGCAAACAGGCCCCGGAAAACTCGTGTCTTGTGCCATCGGCCGCAGGATGGTCTGCCTGACTCAGGCCCACTTAATGTTAAAGCCTGCCTGTTCCCCCTGCCCTGCCTCTCCTCCTCCGGAGTGCGTAACGCCTCCATTCCAGTATTTCTTGTACACATCTTGCCCAGTTCTCAAAAGAAACAGAAACATAATAAAGGGGCACACTTATAATAACACTCCTCCCAATCCGTCCCCATCCCGCGAGAGGTCATTGGTCCATGGCCAGCTCGCTCCCTGGGCTGGCAAAGGACAACCGATGTCCAGGTCAGCTTCCCTGATGACGCCCGCCCCTGGTGAAGACAGTCCGGGCTGAAGGGTCTGAATGAGACAGTGCAAACAATCCCCACGAGGACAAAAATATAAGGCACCGAGACGCTCAGCTGACAGCAGGCCCTCAAATTCACGTTCAACGTGAGGAAGCTTTGACCAGGCTGCTGGGAGCTTAGGGAGGCAACACTGGCAGCAGCGTGACGGTAACAAAGACATTCTCAACTCAGAATGGCCGGGCAGCCGCTGACGGCCAGGCTGACGGGACTCCCACTCTGGGTGGGCGCTTTCCTTGTCCCGTTTACAGGGCTCGTCACTCCTGACACACGTTCTTAGCTGGGATGCGAAGACCCTTGCTCTTGGTGTCCTCCTCCCTCCCTGGATAGTCCTCTGTCTCCTTTAGTGCTCTGTCCTCCTCTCTCCAACCTTTAAACATCGAACCTCCTTCGTATCTCCTGTCTACTCACTTCTCAGGGGACCTCATCCAGTTTCATAGCCCCAGACCCCACCTCTACCCTGGGAACACCCACATATGTACCCCAGCCAGACCCTGTGCGTATATCCCAGTCTAGACTCGTGACTCACATATCTACTGCCATGGCTACATCCCCTCCCAGGTGAGTAACAGGCAACTCAAATGGTTACATCAGGGTGGTCACTTCTGCTCCTCTTGCAGCCTTTCTCATCTCTGTAAACTGCAACTCTGTCCTGCTGACCCTAGAGCAGTGATGGCGAACCTATGACACGCGTGTCAGAGGTGACACACAAGCTCAATTTTTTGGTTGATTTTTCTTTGTTAAATGGCATTTAAATATACAAAATAAATATCAAAAATAGAAGTCTTTGTTTTCCTATGGTTGCAAATATCAAAAAATTTCTGTATGTGACACGGCACCAGAGTTAAGTTAGGGTTTTTCAAAATGCTGACACGCCGAGCTCAAAAGGTTCGCCATCACTGCCCTAGAGTCACCTTGAGGCTTCTTACATATCCCAATCCCATCTGCCAGCAAGTCCCACTGGCCCCACCTTCAAAATATCTCCTGACTTGGTTTACTCAGCCACCTCCACACTACAACACTGTCCAATTATCATCTCTCCCCGGGGTTGTTCTAATAGCCTCTTAGCCCTTGGCCCCAGTCTACTGTCGACCGAGCATCCAGAGAGACACCTGAGTCAGATCATGTTGAGTCTCTGCCCAAACCTCGCAGTGCTTTCTGCCTCCCTCAGAATGACCTACCAGGCTCTGCACAATCCTCCCCACCTCAGCTGGCCTGCTATCTCTCGACCTCTCTTGCCACTCTCCTTGCTTATTCTTCTCCCCACACAATGGCTTGCCACACTGTTCTACAACCACACTAACCAGGATTCTGCCCCAGGGCCTTTGCACTGCTGTTTCTTGGACCTGGAATGTGCTTCCTCCAGAGAAGGACAGGATTCTTTTCCTCTTCACTTCCTTTAGGGGAGGCCTTCCCTGGTCACTTGTATAAAATGACAACCCCACCTCCTTGTCCCTCCTTGGCACTCTCCATCTTCTTATCCTGCTCTATGTTTCTTCTAAGCACATAATACCACTGACATAGTACACATCTGTGTATGGTCCAGTTCCTCTCCGGGATTTTGCTCTGCTCTGGTCACTCCTCTATCCTTTGTACCCAGAACAAAGCCTGACACATAGTGGGTGCTCAGTAAACATCTGTCAAATATTCGTGTTCTTGTCAGGAAGAAGTCGCAGAGCTGAGGAACAGCTGCAGGTTGGCAACATTAATGTTAACAAAGGAGTCAGATAGAAATTAACTGTCTGGTTACAGCAACTAGAAGAGATGCTTCTGATCTTTGCGGAACAGGTTCAATCACAAAATTCTATAGATGACGACGTCAAAAGGAGACGGCATATAGAACAAAGTTCAGTGAACCAAGGGCAGTTGCTTTTTGAGGGATGTATGGTTGACCTTGACAAAAGGCCCCTAATCGGTGGTCCCCCAAACTGTAATGCGCATCAGGATTGCTTGGGGAGCCGTTAAAATGCACATACTCTAGAGAGTATGTTTCAAACACCCAGGAGGGCCGAGGGATTTCTATTTCTAACACGCATCCCAGGGGGTTCTGATGTAATCTCAGAAAATACTGACAAGGGCCGCACCGCCTGGAGTACATAACATTATTTCCATTTTAATTAACTAAAATAAATGTAGCTCATCTGGTGTTCCAGCCGCATGTCAAGTGCTCCATGGCCGCGTGTGGCTAGTGGCCCTGTGTCGGCTGGTGTGGATAGGGGACACTTCCCGGCATTGCAGGAAGTTCTTACGGCCAGTGCTGCCCTAGAGGGCAGCTTTTCTACACACTGGTTTAAGAAACAGGCCACAGGTGTATTCCGAGCCCCCTCGATTCTAGACAATTCTAAGTAGGCAATTACATGCTCTTGCTGGGCGTGTCCTTCTTCAATAATGCCCCCCCATCTGCAAAAGAACGGGGCCCCGACCTTAGGGGAGGCCTGGGCAGCTGTGGGAGTGGAAGCGGCAGCTGGGTAGAAAGTTGGGGAATCTCTCTCTCTCTACTGTCCACTCCCGCTCTCTGCCAGGAGACGGGCCCAAACTCCCATGTCCTCCGTCATCTGTCTGCATCTTGTTCCCTGAAGGCAGACAAGGGAGCTGACTTAACCCTGAGCCAGGAAGGAGAAATTAGCATGCACCATACTGTGCGGTCAGGAAAACTGCCCTCGTGACCTGGGCTCAGCAGAAAGCAGACTTATGGGTGGGGCAGGAGCCACAGGGATCAGCTTTGTTGGCCTTTACATTCTTGTGGCCTTTTATCGCCCTCCAGTTATTCTCTCGTCCCCCATCTTCTCTTTCTGATACCTTCCCTTGCATATTGAACTTTCCAGGCTGGGGCAGATGCTGGCAGCCAGGCAGGTTGGGGTTGACCCCTTTAGGGTCACAGGATGGGAGAGAGGGGCAAAGGTCATGAGCCTCTGTGATAACTGCAGTGGGGAAGGAAGAAGGGGGGCAGCAGGGACTGCTACTCTTCATGCATCATTCTTCTCAAGTGCACACAGGACATTTTCAAAGATTGACCACATACCTGCCTCTGCCTTGGGTTTGAGGTGGGAGAAGCCGGGCCTCCCCTGAGCCCTGCCATCTGTGAGGCTAACTCTCATTACCCTCCAGACAGGACCCACCCATTTGCACATTTAATGAGCACCTGCTGAGCCCAGTGCCTCACTGGGAATTGAACCTTCGACCTTTCGGTATATGGAATGATGCTCCAACCAACTGAGCCACAATGGCCAGTGCGTGGACATTGTTTTTAAGGGTCTTTCTAGCCCAATCTCAACATACAAGACCTGAGATCTCAAGCTTTCATTTTAAAATAGTTTTCATCTCTTGATTTATAAGCTGGAGGAAAAATTGTTTCTTAGGAGCACTAACTCAGAAAAAATTAAATGTGGAGAACTTACATTAACTTTAAAGGTCTGTACCAAGCCATCTAGAAAGCGGATGCTGCACACGACTTCGGACCGAGTTTTCTCTTTGGGTAATTCTGAGGTGCGTATGTTATTAATTCTTCCACCAAACGCACGTAATCGGGAGGTCATAACTATCGTTGAATAACCTGCAACAGAAGATGTACCTGTTAGCTCTCTGATATGCAAATTAACAGTTACATGCCCACCCCATACCTGTCTGCTTTGATTTGCGCAACAGGAGGACCTCACGAATAATGTGAACTAGATAAAAGACCATGCTTCTGCTTAAGTTTTGACTTCTAAGCTCTAAGCAAAGCGTATTGTTAAATTATAATATGTCTATAGGATTACATGGCTTGTGTTTTATTATCTCCGCAAGATATGTACACACATATATGTGTATTTCCCACGCTTTTAATTTTGTATTTATGTTTTACTATTTTATATATTTGTGTATCCTACCCCTAAGGTATTACAGAACTAAACGTGATATAAAAATGACGTAAAATATGAAGACACTGATAAATTAGATTATATTAAAATTAAGGCCTTCTATTCATTAAAAGACACTATGTAAAAGAATAAAAAGGCAACCCACAGAAATATTTGCAAAATATATATTTACAAATATACAAAGAGCTCCTATGAATCAATAAGAAGAAACAAACAAACAAACAACCTGTTAGAATAAAGAAGCCACATCAGTTGTTAGAGAAGTAAAACCACAAAGCACTAGTACTACATACCCACCCGAATGGCTATAATAAAATCTGACTAAACCAAGTGCTGACCAGGGTGTGGCGCGCCTGGAACTTCATGCGTAGCTGGTGATGCATTCTGTTTGGCAGCACCTCCTAACCTGAACACATGCATATTCTGTGACATAGTTCTACTTCTAGGCTATTCCCAACAGAAAAATGGACATTTTTCATGACAGCATAGTATGGTGAGTGCTAATTCCTCCTTCCTGGTTCACTAAAATATATGTACAAGTATCTTCATAATAGCCCCAACCAGGAAAAGACAGAAATGTCCCTCAATAGAATGGGTAAGTTGTGGAATAGCACACCATGCATGACTATACAACAAAGGAAATAAAGGAGCCCGGTTTGGCTCAGTAGATAGAGCCTCGGCCTGCGGACCAAAGGGCCCCAGGTTCGATTCCAGTCAAGGGCACCTGCCCGGGTTGCGGGCTCAATCCCCAGTAGGGGGCGCAGGCAGCCGATCAATTGTTCTCTCTCATCATTTATGTTTCTCTCTCTCTCTCCCTCTCCCTTCTCTGCAATCAATAAAAATATATTTTTAAAAAGCAGTTCTATGAATTTTTTTTAAAAAAGGAACCATTGTCACATTCAACATGAATGTCTCTAACGTTATGTTGAGCAAAAGCAGCCAGACCTAGAGCAGGAACACAATTACATAAAGTCAGATGGGCACAAGCTTTATTGGGATAATCACCTACTAAGTTATGTACCGTAATGTCTAATCACTAGGGTGTAACGTCTAATTACCTGAAACTAATAGAATAATGTATGTGAACTGCAACTAAATTTTTTGTTAAGTGATTTTTAAAATCCCCCACTTTTCCCTTTTGGTAGTCCTTTGGGGCTTGGTGGGATGCTGCCCCATTCATGAATCACTTAATAAATCCAATCACATCTTCAAAAACAACAACAGGCAAAACTAGACAATGTTTATAGAAAACAGGATGGTGGTTACCTTTGGGTGTAGGGACTGAGGGGGCCCAGGGTCTTCTGGGATGCTTATACTATTCTATTTCTTGATCTGGATGCTAATGAGACTGATGTATCCACTTTATGAAAATCCATCAGGCTCTACATTTATGATTTGTGCACCTTTATGTATGCATATTTCAATATCAAGTTTATTTACAAAGAATACATGTATGAAGAGGGGATTCGTGGGCAGGTTAGAATCTGACCACAGTATATCCAGGGAACAGTAAGGAAAGTGGTTTTACTAGTGAATACAATTGTGGAGTGGTAGACTAATGACCCGAAAAAGTGTGCAACTGAGCACATGGTCCCATCATGCAGGTAGGAAGCTAAGGATCAAGGTCAGCATAAGGAATGAAGAAGGTATAAATCTGTCAAGGTTGGGCAGAAGAGCAGCTAACGATGAAGGAGCTAAGAGCAATTTAATGTTCCTTTTTATTAATTCTCCACAAACTCTCTGTAATGCACTGGGCCTTTGCACATGCTGTTCCTTCTGCCTGGAAGCTGTTCCTGCTTTGTGCTTGAATAACTGCTACTCACACCTCAGTGCTCAGTGCAGCATCACCTCCTCAGGGAAGCCTTCCTGGTGTCCCTGACCACTCACTTGTGTTATAGGCTCTCCTCTACAGCGCTCATCATAATTTCACATTTATAACTAACTAGAGGCCCAGCGCACGAATTTGTGCACTGATTGGGCCGGGCTGTGGGAGGGGCTGTGGGCAGTTGGCGGGCCCGTCCCCCATCGGGGTGGGGGGTGGGGGTGATCAGGAGTGGGGCCAGCTGGGGGGAGAGGCCAATCAGGGAGGGCCCCCTGGTTGAACTCCCAGTTGAACCCCCTGTCGAGGGGACAATTTGCATATTAGCCTTTTATTATATAAGGATGATGCGATTATTTAACATTTACTTCTCCCACTGAGAGTGAGCTTCGTGAGGGTAGGAGCCAGGTCTGATTTTGCTCACTATATCTCCAACACTTAGCTCTGGGAGGCAGTCAATGAATTTCTGAATGAATCAATGAGTGAAAGGCAGAATGAGATAAAAAAAAAAATGAAGCCAAGAGTTACAGTGTGGATAAACAGCGGCTCAACATGATCGACAAACGTGTGCCGGTGGGAGCAGGCAGGAAGAAGGACAGGGTCGGGGCTTCACGCAGAATGCAGCATGGGGCTGTCCCGCAGACCGGGGCTCCTCACGCCGGGGATCTTAAGACGTAGGCTCAGATTCAAGTAGGCCTGGGCGGGGCCCTAACGCCTGCATTTCTTGGTCTCCCAGATGATGCTGGGGCTGCTGACCTGGGGTCCACCCTGGGAGGGCAAGCCATAGATAACTGGAAAAGCAGCACCCAACGTCAGGGCAGGGCCGGAGCTGGGAATCAGTAGCCAGGGCGGGATGAGGACGAAGCAGAATCAAGCCCCGGGGAGCCACAGATCAGGGCTCAGCTGCAGGAACTGAAAGCACAAAGGAATGGGAGCCGAGTCGAAGATACATCCCAGAGAGAGGGTGCAGGCATCCCTCATGCTGTTTAAGGAGCTCCCGGTGAACCTCAGTTCTCCTGGAGGGAGGAGTCGGGGATCTCATGTTAATAATAAAAAAAAAATTCCTGGGACCAGCAGGGGAAGGAAACTTGTTCTAAAACTTGCAAAATTCCACCCACCCCACCACCTCCACCTTGCCATTTCCAATGCAAATGTCACAGGAGCCAGGATGCATTTTCTGAGTAATACCAAAAGTTATCAAACGACAACAAATGTGTTCTGTTCCATAATGCCTTAACCACGCTGAATTTATGACGCCAAATTTATTGTTTAGTCCTTTTCTAAGAATTTCAGGTGGGTTAGGACTGTTTTTAAAAGATACAATAGAACTATTAGTGGGAGGTGCACATCAGAGTCGTCCTTCCCCTCCCCCCCCCACCCCCCGACGGGGGAGCTTTTATAAAATATGCCTGTCCTGGCCCCATCCATAGGTGGTGATTCAGCATCCGGGCGTGGGGCCCAGAATGGCATTCCCTTTGGGAAGCTCTCAAAGGGAGGGCCTGAGAGTCAAGGGCTAGAGGAGGGGGGTTCCGGGTGCCTCGCGGCGTGCTGCCCATGGTCAGACTGAGAATACAGGCTCTGCAGAATCTGGGCCATGCACGGTGCGGCCACATGTGGGAATCAGGCAGGTCCTCAGAACAGCAAAAACAGAGCAAATCAGAACCACACCGTGACACAGAAAGAAACCCAGAGGTGAGTTCAAATAGGAGCTGCCAAATGAAAGGCACCTGGATGGAAGGACCCCCGCAGGCACTGATTTTCAAGCCGCTCCTCACCTGAGACCCCCTACCGCTCGCACCAGCGTGGGTACCAGCGGGTCTTCTGAACTGAACCATGGTGAATGGTGCTGCCCAGATAAGCAGGTAGCCAGCTGACAGAATACGGTAAACCGGCAACCCAGAACAGACACACTTTGTCCTCCTCACATCAACCCCTGTTCCATAAAGGGGTTGGAATGGCACTTAATGACAAGTCATAAGTAGGCACTTCACACAAGTAGCAGAAATGTCCTTCCCACCCTTGTTCCTAAGGCAGACCTTGATAAGAGGAGGCCTGATAACAAATAACCACACAATGAAGCCCTGAAGTGTTTTCAGATTGTCTTGAAATGGCATCTTAAACAATCCAGTCCGGACAATGGGTGCTGACTAACCGCCCTGTTTCCTGTAGCACAGCAATTGCGGCCCTTGGGGTTTCTATGGCTTCCTTTATAAGCCTCTTAATTCCAAACAAAGCCACAACCCGACCAGGAACACTCTGGCCTCTCCCACCACAAATGACTGCAGCTGCAGCTGATGCATTTATCAACATGGGAGCCAAGCTTGCTCTGTCCGTACTTTTTCAAAAAGCAAATAGTTACGAATCTGTGCTGCCCTGTAAGAATAGAGGTTCTACTGTAACTATAGATTTTATCAAAGATTCTACTTGCAAAACATAGAAAAGAGGCCACATCTCAGTCTGTGCACAGTAGACCCCCATAGGTACAGTGAGTGTTGAGGGCTAGACGTGTAAAGTACCCACACAGCTAAAACAGAGAGCCAATCAAATTAAGTGGGACACATAGCAGGTACTCAATAAAAGACATTTTATTAATAACTAGTAGCCCATGCACACGAATCCGTGCGCCAGTAGGTCACTGCCACCCTCCTGTAGCTCTCTGCCCACTGCCCCGCCCTCCTGTAGCTCCCCCCACCCCTCTCTCTCCTTCCCCGCCCTCATAGCTTGCTGCCCTGCCCTGTCCTGTAGTTCTCTGCAGCCCACTTGTACCTCGCTGGCCCATCCTCCTGTTGATCCGTGATCTGGCTGTGACGCGCTTGGTCATTATGGGGCGTAATGGCTAATTAGCATATTCCTCTTATTATATAGGATACCAAG